CGCACATACGCGGGATTGCTTGCATTCAGCAGCCAGAGTATATCCCTTGACGGTGCCGATATCTTCTAAGTCGCTGCCAGCCGTTTCTGTGATCCTCCACGCCTGCAGAACAAAGCACAGACATGAGTATCATATGCCTTCATGTATTGAATATTGATCTATCATGTGTAAGTAATATATCGGATAAATGTATGCAAACACGATATCGGGTATATGTTGTTTTGTAGCTTTTATATATCCTTTGTAGGTAGTATATTTATAAAAAGTGTATACTATATATATATATATATATATATAATGTATAGGGTAGCATGTCTACTTATGTACATATTGGTTGTATACGATTTCCTGCACCCATGTCAACGAAGTGTCAACTGCTGCCAACCCTGGCGTACAGCTACGGAGAATTTAAACCTTTTCAACATGCACTGGATTTACGAGTTTCTGTATGTGGGCGTTTATGTACGTGGATATTAGGATTGAATAATAAATGGAGAGCCTTGATATTTAGCTTCCATGTACACTATATTATTAAAAAACAGATAGTCTAGGTATGTGTAACGGCATTGTCGAGTTTCAACCACCTAATATGACTACACGCTACGACCCATCAACATACATGCATCCTTTCTTTAAATGTGAATCAGCAAAGCCGTGCAAGCAGAGGTAAGATTACTATACATAAGATTGTAAAGTGTATTCGACACTGTATCATTGCAAACGGCTGCATAAGCAGAGGTAAGATTACTATACATAAGATTGTAAAGTGTATTCGACACTGTATCATTGTAAACGGCTGCATAAGCAGAGGTAAGATTACTATACATAAGATTGTAAGGTGTATGAGACTGTATCATTGTAAACGGCTGCATAAACAGAGATAAGATTACTATATAAGCTTAAATGGTGTATTTGTGCTACTGTAATCAGCTACACAATTATATCAATGCACAGCCAGAATTACACAGTACATTCGTACCTGCACATCGTTGTTGTCGTAGAGTGCGTACAGTAGATCCCTGTCTTGATCTACAACCAGGTCAATTACCGTGGGGTAGTTGCCTAGGGATAGCGAAACGGAAGACATACATAAGAAGTCTAGGTATAAATGCGAATGCGGGAGAGCAATGCGTTGGAACGTATTCAGAACTATTCACATGTATGCATGGAGAAGTAAGAAATAACATATACATACAAGGTGAGAGATATGTATACGGGGACTGAGGTGTACCTCGCTTTCTCAGCCAGTTGGGCTAAGGAACCTAACAGTGTGACTTCAGATTAATATAAACTTAAAAAAATTGCCATACATGGGACCAAGAGCCTATGTTATATGCATATTATTACGTATATACATAGTGCATTAGTATAGACAAATTATATCGACTACATAGCACCCGTGAGTATTCTTGGGGAACTTACCCTATATGAATCCCGAAGACAAGTTATTACGTATATACAATTTATATATTACAAGTGTGTATCCCGGTAACTACCATTGACATAGTACAGATACATACATATTTTCTATATAGACATATATAAAACTTTTGTATATCCAAATTATATTGACGTACATAGCACAATTGTATGTTCTTGTGGAACATACCATAAATGAATCCCGAAAATTAACCATCGACATATTATTACGTATATACATAGTATTTTATATAATACATGTGTAGATAGCGGAAACTGCCATCGACATACTATAAATACATACGTTTTGTATTAGTATATACAAACTATGTTAACATACAAATACCATATGTATATAGAAATCATAAAAACATACATGTTACCTTTGTATATACAAACTAAAAATACATACAAATTTCATGTATATTATTGAGGAACATACCATATAAGAATCCTGGGATGTAACTGGCAATCACCGACACCGTCAGATTCTGCAGATGACATGGATATTGCAAACCAAACCACTTCTTTGTCTGTGATTATATGAGATCGAAGATTGCAGATAAGAGGTCGGATAGTATAGATGTCGAGGTGAGTGTGTCACAATACATGCTTGTCTCAATATAGCTTTGTAATGTGCGTGATACTCCATACATCATTGTGTTAGTAAAAGT